AGTGCACACACAGAACCAAGTACAAAGCATAGACGATCTTGTAAAAGAGTACCCTGATAGATTTCAAGGCATAGGGAAGTTCCCAGGCCTTCAAAAAGATACATCTAGTTGAAGATGCAACACCGGTAGTCCAACCGCCAAGAAAGTTTCCAGTGCACATTAGAGCAGAACTAAAAAAAGCACTTGACGAAATGGAACACATAGGGGTTAAAAAAAGTTATAGAGCCTACGGAATGGGTCAATGCTATCGCATGTAGCAGGAAAAAAATGGAGCTCTGCGAATTTGTCTGGACCCTAAACCATTAAATAAATGCATCAAAAGGACGCATCATAAAACACCAACGTTGGAAGAAATATCACACAAATTAGCAGGTGCAAAATACTTCTCAAAGTTGGACGCAAAACATGAATATTGGGCGATACAACTCGATGAAGAATCGAGCATACTCACATGTTTCAACACTCCATTTGGGAGATATAGATATCTGAGATGTCCTTTTGGCCTAAAAAATGTCACAAGACATCTTCCAACAGAAAATGGACCAAATTTTGAAACATGCAATGGAGCCATCGGTATATCCGATGACATCTGTGTATACGGCAGAACAATACAGGAGCATGACCGAAACCTGATAAAGACAATGGACACAGCCCGAAAATACGGCCTAGTCCTTAACAAAGAAAAGTGCTCCATCAAACAAAAACAAATCAAGTTTACGGTCTCATCTGGGATGAGAATGGTTCTCACCCAGACCCTGACAAATGCGATAAAATAAAGTCGAAGCCAGCACCCACCAACAGAGAAGAACTCCAACAACTTCTAGGTATGATCCAATACCTAAGTCCCTTCATACCAGATCTCAGCTCCAAAACAGCTCCACTGAGGTCACTACTCAAAAAGGATGCAGAATTTCAGTGGAACGAGACACATGGCAAAACTTTCCAAATATTGAAAGATCACATCCATGAAAAACTTTGTTTGGCATATTTTGATCCCAATTCAGAGACAGTCATTCAAGTCGATTCAAGCATGCTAGGGCTAGGTGCAACACTCATCAATAACAACAAAGTTGTCGCCTTTGCAAGCAAAAAAGACTGACCGACACAGAATCGCGATATGCCAACATAGAAAGAGAGTTACTCGCAGTAGTATTCGGGTGTGAGAGATTTCACATACATTTATGGGAAAAAAGTACTGGTCGAAACAGACCACAAACCCTAGAAAACATTCAAAACAAGAATATATCACAAGCACCTCCACGGCTACAAAGAATGTTACTAAGATTACAGCCATATGACGCACAAATTACATACAAACCTGGAAAAAGAAATGCATTCCAGACTATTTATCAAGGAACCAACCGACTTCAGGCAAAGAGATCCAACTCGACCTAACAATACACACCGTCAATATAACAGCTCAAAAACAAATGGAACTGCAAAATGCAACTGATGAAGATGAAGAGCTGAGAATACTGAAACAGGTGATATTAAATGGATGGCCAGACGATGTAAAAAATACACCAAAAATAATCAGACGCTACTGGTCACTAAAAGAATGCCTATCAGTACAGGACGGTATTGTCACAAAGGGACAGTCCATAGTCATACCCAAAAGTATGCAACACACAGTACTACGGAGAATCCACGATGCACCACCAAGGTATCGAAAAATGCCAGCTGAGAGCAAAAAACAGTGTGTTCTGGAAAGGAATACACAAAGACATAGAAGCGTTAGTAAGGAAATGCGAGATCTGCAGAGAGCATCAGAGGAAAAAATTCAAAAGAAACAATGATTATAAAGGAACATGCAACGCGACCATTTCAGAATGTCGCAGCAGACATCTTTGAATTCAAGGGTCAACAATTCCTACTGATAGCTGACCAGTATAGCAAAATGCCATTTGTGAAGACACTGAAAAATATAACTAGCACTAGTTGCATTGAATATTTCAAAGCAGTCTTTGCTGTCCATGGCATTCCGGAAAGGCTATACACGGACAATGCCAGGTACTTCGTATCCAACGATTTCCTCAATTTTGCCACAGAATGGGAGTTCACTCATATTACATCGAGCCCCAGGTACCCACAATCAAACGGGTTTATAGAACGCATGGTCCAAACCGTAAAGAAAACATTTACAAAAGCCAAACAATCAAAAATGGATTGTCAAATGGCCCTTCTATGTCTCAGAGCAACCCCACTAGACAGCCATCTACCATCCCCGGCAGAAATCCTATACAATAGGAAGATAAGGACAAGACTTCCAACCTTGTTAAACACAGACACCCCAAAAGATCACGAGATCAGAGAAAGATTGTGCGCCAAAAGCAAAAAGCAGCAACAATATTACAACAAAAATGCAAAGGATCTTCCAGAATTAATTGTTGGGAGTAAAGTGTCTGTGTTACAGGAAAATGACACCTGGCAACCGGCGACAGTGGTTGATAAAAGCGCAGAACCACGCAGCTACATTGTCAGAATGCATGGCGATGGAAGATTACTGAGGCGTAACAGACGACATCTGCAAGAATTATACAACCCTCAGAGACAAACCAGCATCAACACACCCATTCAAGAGACGAGTTGGGACGATAACACCACCGTCCCAACAACATGCTGACCCACTAGAAGTCAGTACTCCATCCAATAATAATGGATACACCGCAACAGACAACCCAGGGTAACCAGTCGAGTCGAACCAACAGCCAGAATTACTGACCAAAGACCGACCCAAAAGAGCACGGCGAGCCCCTCAAAAAATACAAGGACTTTGTATTATTCAAATAAATGAATATATATATATATATAAAAAAAAAAAAAGACACAACACCTTTTTTCTTAACAAAGGGATGTAACAGCATAAGAAACTCTTTAATGTATTGAGTTACCTGCCCTTGTTTAACCCCTTGTATGTAGTAGTCCTTGACATGTAAATAAAAGAAGTAGACATCACAGTTATCCTGTCTCTCGTATCTTCATTGAATACCCGCAGTATTACACATACTTTGACATGGTAAGTGAAATATTTGGTAACTGAATGACAAAGTGGAAAACATTCTGTATAACACATTTTTTCCTTTAAAACCACTTCATCAGACTAAAGTATTTTCTTATTGATAGAATTATATATATATATATATATATATATATATATATATATATATATATATATATATATATATATATATATTTATTATAAATTAACTGATTTAAAATATGGTTCCTTTGCTATAGAGGAATTACCAAGTTTCAAAACTGAAGTTAAAAATTTCAAATTTAATTATATAACTAAATTAAAAGCATTAGTTCTGTTTCATCTTCAAGCGAATTTTGGAATAACATATTTTTAAATTTACTGAGTTTTTAAACGGATTATATATCTTACTGTTCTTTTTTTTTATTATAATATATATATATATATATATATATATATATTAAGAAATGGACAAGGTCCGACAATTTATTCATTAAAGACATTTTTATGTTTAACGTTGTTTTTTATAGATACAAGTATTTTAAATGCTCTGTTTATGATAAACAGTATTATAACATTGTGGCCAGCCTGAATGTCGAGAATTTAAATGACGAAAATATTCGTTCTTTGACAGGTTCGAACCTGTATCCTATACGGAACCGTCATTTACTATGAAAATATTTTCTCGGAAATTCAGGCCGGTAAATGTTATTTAATACTGTTTATCATAAACAGAGCATTTACTTAAATACTTGTATCTATAAAAAACAATGTTAAACATAAAAATGTCTTTAATGAATATATATATATATATATATATATATATATATATATATATGTGGGAAGTTACAAACGTAAATGTCAGTTGCAATTGTGCCCCAAGAGGAAATGTTGAAGATGCAGGAACACAAACATAAATTTTCTTTTTAATTTTTGGCATCTGATATGTCTAAATGCACAGCTTGCCCAATCTCATCCAGTTTCCCAACACTGTTGTTTTTACTATTGTTTTTAAATATTCCATATTGGGACAAGGTGCAATGTTGTAAGAACCATGACTCAAATTTAATTTGAAATATCTTAACCTATTCTTCAGTAATAGGTGTTGAACCCTTCACAAAACTAAGAAATTGCCTGTTGAATTATAAATTCAAAACTCTTGTCTCTTCTTTATTTTATAGCCCATTTGATGAAAGTGATTTATTTTATAAGACATTTACCTAAAATTCTGAAATGGAGTGTCATCACAATTTATTTTCTGATTTTTAACATTTCAGCTTGTCAACAGATGTTACATACAGTAACCTGCAAGGTAATTTTGAATAGGGCACATTATTTAACTCGGAGAAGATATATTCTTCTATATGGGTCATTTCTTTTGATATCTTATGAAAAATTATCTACCAATAAACTAATTAAAACATTAACTACACTCTATAATGATCAAATGCCATAACTTCAAGAAATGAACAATGAAACAATCATTCTTGAATAAAGAATAGTGTAGCACAAGGATATCACAGACATTTGCATATAAGCAATAAAATCATTAAGCAATCTTTGTATGATAAATATAGATAGAGCATATCTACTGTCAATATGAATAAGCAATAAACTGGCATAGTGTTAATTGAATTTAAAACTTAGCATATCTGCTTGATTAAACAAATTATATTCTAAAGGATACTTTTTATTTAGAGTTCTATAAAACATACCACAATATATCAGCTTTACTGCTTGAGCCTTTAATGTTTGCCGTCAATCGGTAGTAGCAGCACATTGAATTCAGTGTAACATTTAGATACTTTTTATTTTTGGAAAAAAATTTGCATCTTGTATGCAAATTAAGAGAGTATCTGATAAAGACAGAAGAGCTGATATTCCATCTTGTCTCAAAAAAATTGATTAAAATAACAAAATAAGGATACTGGTTCAAAATTCATCAAACAAGATATAATTACAGGACTGATTAAGATGTCTTAGTGTTTCCAAAAGAAACAAGCATGAGAAAAGAGAATCTTACTTTTGCAATGGTGGCATGATGTTCATCATAAGGTTCTGCTGTTGTGCAGTCATTTAAAGAATATATGAGAAGAAAACCAGCAAGAGCAGTTGCCATGGCAATAAATGCTGTTTCTGCTACCATCATCCATTTTTTACGGACATATCTGATAAATAGAATAGAAAATAAAAAATTAGCAATGCTTGAAACTTTACATAAGTAATTAAAAAAACTGAAAACTAGGAAGGATCAAGGAAATTCTACTGAACAATTCCGCAAATTAAAAATCGATAACATTACTGTAAAGCTAGCAAATGTTTACTTCTTGTATACATCTAGTGGCAGGACTGGGGGCTAAAAATTAGAAACTTGATTTGCAGATGAACGTGGAATAGGTGGTGATAACCTCCAAGATCACTAAGTTGCTGCATGTCAATTTATAACCAAAACTATTATTTGTGGGTCAACAGTAAAAAAGAAAATTTTTTACATAACACCACATAAATTTGAAGTGTCTTAATTGGAAGAATCTGTACACATGTAATTATTTAAAAAAAAGATATTAATGCTAGTAGCAAAGTGATTGGTAGAGCAGAAAATAGTCAGTGAACAAAGTTCAGATTCCAACTGAGATAATCTGTATTCACAATAATGCAAATGTTATTGACAAAATGTTCTTGATTAAAAAGAATTTGTATGCAACATATATGTAAATTAGTACAGCATTACCAAAAATATAAGGTTTTTGTTTTTTAGCCTCAGAAAATTAAGAATTTTAATAGAATTTCCTTAAGTCCTGTATTTGTTTACCTTTCTGTAAATTCTTGTCCCTACCTCAAAAGTAAAGACTGTTAATGTACTTGATCCAGAAACATTATCAATATAAAAAAATATTCATTTTATATTTTGTCAGACATTTGTTTTCTCTGTTATCCCTTTTTTTAATATTACAATTTACTCAATAACTTTAAAGTTTTTATGACTTTTCCTGAGAAATGCTGAGTATACTAACTAATATTATTTAAGAAAGGCTCATTTCTTTGAAAATCTGTTATGTCTCAAGTTCACTCCAGACCTCTAGTGGAACTTGTATATAAAATTCATTGCCAAAGATGCTGAAAATAAATGGTCAGCTCCTTGTACCACTCTAAAAAGTACCTGACTTTTGCTATCATGCTTATCATTACAAGTGGCAGACCAAAAATAAAGTATTGCTGCGGGAGCTGCCCAATCTTCACTTTCCAAACTTAATAGAGTTCAAAATCATTTACACAGTTTTGTAGGGGGATAACATATTTCCCACCCTGCAGTCCTTCAGACACAACATGACTACTCTATTGTTATTCCTATGGCAAATGTTCAGGCAGGCTCTATTCTTTTGGCTCACCAATTTAGACCTTTACAACTAAGACCTGCTATGTTGCATCCATAGGGTTGAACCACCTTTACTACCTCCATATTCCATTTGTAAGGAGGAAGTCCACTCAGACAACTTTTTCAAAATCTACTCTGTGGCAAAGAATCCTGCATGGATGCTTCCTTGAACAGTACTATTTCAATCTCTTCAAGGCAAGAATCAATTGTACTTATTCTCCATACTCATATGATCCCCACTTCCTACTTCTACATTCACACCTCATTCAGTAATTCTCTATATTGAGTGGCTCCTGACCCTTGTATTGGGTAAACATTAATTAAACTCCTTACCATGAAATATATTCTAACTAGTTTTCAGTTTAAAAACAGGATTTAGATAAAGTATTAATTAGTTTGTAAATGTCTGTGACTATTAAATTGTTTAACATTATCAAAGAGTAATAATAAATATGTGCTTTCCATTCATCAAGTGAGAAAAGAATTTTATAAAGTTCAGAAATTTATTTACAAAAATCTACATGAAGTATAATTACCAAAAGCTGAAGATTCTGTTGCCTGGATTTACACATAATATTTGTATGTATTGAAAAAGTGAATAGTTACCTAACCTATTCAACAAATGCTAACATTTGAATGGAGCTTGGATGGTACTTCAAAAAACAACTTTGTGTGTATACTTTTTGCAGGCATGAATATATTTAGAAACATATAAGCACACACATGTGTGTATAATATAAAAATATACTCAAAAAGGTATATATGTGTAAAAAAAAAAATGGTGGAGTGGACACTTTTCTGCACCTTATAACTTCTTGTGCAGGTCTGAGAGATATTCACTTGTTTGTTACAGCTATTGTGGCATGGTCTGTAACAGTCATGGGAAAACCCCTCAAATTTATGTGAAGTCAAATGAACTTGTTGATAATATGAACAGATTGATATCATTGTAAGTGAATTCAAAAGCTGATTTAAACTAATTCCTAATAATGTACTGATCTTTTATAGAAAACATTTACCTTGTATTTATTTATTAATTTTGTCTTTATACCCAAATACATTTTCTGAGTAAAATTATAGTCTTAGAATACTGCTCAAATATATTTTCATGTTTTTTAAAGAAATTGTAAAACCCAAAAGGCTGGTCGTTGCCGGGGTGATCGCTGTTGTTGAAGCTGGTCGTTGCCGGGATGCCAACTGTTGGTTGTTTGTCATTGCCGGGATGCCAATTGTTGGTTGTCGCAGTGGATGTTGGTTGTTGGCAAGATCATCGCTGTTGATTGCTGCAGTTGATGTTGGTTGATGATCTTGCCAACAACCAACATCAACTGCAGCAATCAACAGCGATGATCTTGCCAACATTTAACCAAGTCAACCACAGATTTGATCTCACACTTTTGACTGACATGAAGTGGATTTATTGTATTGAATCAGTTGCTAAATGTTCTGCATAGAAGTTTGGTTCACTGTGTCGATAATTTTTTTCAGAATTCATTTTGCACATTTATAAATCTATCATCTATCCATGCATTGAATACTGCTGCTATATTTGGTCTGATTCTCCTACTATATATCTCGAGATTCTTGACAAAATCCAAAGAAGAGTCTGTAATATAATTGATGCTGATTTGGCATCTCAACTTCAGTCACTTTCTGACCAACATGATGTGGTTTTTTTCTGTCTTTTCTATAAATATTTTTATGACAATTGTTCTAATGACCTTTTCTCCTTAGTGCCTTGACAGCATGAATTTAAGCATGCTACTAGATTGGCAGCTAGATCTCAGTGTTTTATTGTTAAATTAGCTAGATGCAACCATCAATTCTATTCTAATAAAGTCTTTTCATTATTTCTCTCTCACTGTAACCCCTACATCCTAGTGGCATTATTGTCTTGCTTGGGGTGAAATGATTTAAAAAAAATTTAAACATCTGTCATGAATTTTTATGAAAAGACTGCATATGATAATAAAGTAAGTCAGTTAATAGCAATCCTAGAAATAAACCAGAAATTGACCTTGGGGCAGGTTAGCTGATGTGAATGGAGATAATGTCAAACAAGCTGATGCTCTCATTACAACTGAGAGAAAAATCATTGTGAAAGTCAAGTCGGTCATATTAGTGTCCATATTTTAGTGCAGTCACCAGGTTACTCAAAGGTTTGAGCAAAGTGGTTTTCTAGAATGATGACAGATCTAATTGCAAAACATGGATAACATTTTCCTAAACAAGATAAAGATCATTGAAGTGCCACTACCCAGACTCACCCAGAAAGAAGTGTAAAGTAGCACACCCAGAATGGAAGGTGATAGCTATTATGTTTTGGGACCGAAAGGTAGTCATATTATTTGTTGATAACCAATGGCACTATTATCAATTCTCTCGTACATGAGCACATTGTCAAAACTTAGAGCTTTGAAGATGTGTGATGTGCTTTTCTGACATAACAATGAAAGGTAGCTTAATGACAAGACAAGATGTGATAGTTCATGGCTGGACTACTTTATCTCTTCAATTGACAGTTCTAACTGGGCACAATTTAAAATTTAACTGTTTGAGCTCTTAAGAAGACACTATTGATTAGGTGAAAGAAACAACTTGCGTCTCATAAGAAGGAAGGTGACTGTTAAAAAATAAGTTGGAATTTTAAAACTTTTATGTTCATTTTGATATGTTTTGTGTGCTTCTATTATTAAATGTTGTAATTAAAGAAGAATAGGCATTACTTTTAACTGATCCATATATAGCAACCATTTGCTCATGAACACAACATTCTTTACTATTTGTAACTTTGAGATAAGTTTGTTATCTATTCTCAAAAGGAAGCAATAGGTGTTCTGTCATGTCCGACCTCATGAATTTCTTTCTGATTATGGTATTTTAAAAATTTTTCTCACCATTTCAAGTATGAAATGACCTTGTTGTCAATCTAGTACTGTGCTTCAATTCATAAAGTCTAGGTACCATAGAAGAAAGTTCATCAGAACAATTACCATGAAAACTATAAAATTTATAAAAAATGCATAATGGCAGTGGGAAAGTGACTGAAGATAAGATTCCAGGTCAGAATCAATAACATTGCAGATTCTTCTTTGGATTTTGTCAAGTAATAAACAACAATATTTCTTTTTTAGAAATCAAGAATAAAGCATTTTTAACAAATGCTTACAGTATTTGAAAGAGAATATTTCTAGAATAGATAGAAAGTTTTTTCTGTGTTCCTGTTGATTAAAGGATTAAGGAATTGATCATTCCAAATGAAATTATATTTTACATTCAAATTTTGTGTTACAGCTGATATTGGAGATTAAGTAAAGGTCGTAATAATACAGCAGGAGTTATTTCCCTTTAACTGTTATTTGAATTAGTTAAGACTAAGGAAGATAATTTTTTTTATCTAGACTCGCATCATGAAATTGAGAAACTTATTAAATTTAGGGAGAAAGATTTCAGTTCACGAAATAATAGTAAATTTCAATGGAAAGAATGTCCTTCAATAAAAAGGTGTTGTAGGCTGAAATTTGGTGTAAGATGAGTTCAAAGAAACTTATTGATTGAGGGAAAATGTAATCTTCACTTGAATATTGAAAAGTTGAATTAACTTGCTGCTTATTGTTGTTCACCAAAGAGTTGAATATGACTGAAAGATTCTGGAAAGCTGAGAATATGTTGAATCATAACTTGTAGCTCCGGAAGATTTTGAAGTAAAATATATTTTGTAGTTGAATGGTTAATAGATGTTCAACATTCGTACATATGTGCATGCGTGTGTGTGTGTGTGTGTCATAGCAT